TGCATGTCATGCATGCATAGGAAAGAGGTTCACGAGGGGAAAAGGTCTTCTACATGTAGCTTTTCATTCTGTGTGTGATTATTGTGAGGTTTTGTGTGAAATTTTAATTTTCGGCTATCACATTTCGTTAATTTCTTACTTTTTAGACGGGGTCCATGGACTAGAACACAATAACTTTTTTTAGAAAACTGCCATAAAGCAGTTTTTATTGCTATAATTTCTTTTGTTTTTCTGTCACCAATCAATGGAATGCCCTATCTCAATATGTAAATTTAGGGTGCGTTTGGTTGGTACGATCTAGAACAGGATCGAACAGCTGGTGCACATGGAGCAGCCTCATGCCAACCAAACGCTACTCCAGAAACAGAGCACATTTTTTGGAAAATGTGCCAAACTTGGTGCATTCTTCAAAATGTGTATGGATCACCATGGTCACTTTGTACGGTACGACGAGTCCAACCCAAAAGCGTATGCACATGATCATTTGGGAACAAAATCGATGTTCCCGCCAGGTTTCACTGTGAAAAAGTGAAACTGCTCGGTCTGCTCCGGCCTCGAGGCCGGAGCAAGCAGAACATGTTCTGGCCGACCCAGAACAGGTGCAGTCCCAACCAAACGCGCTGTTCTGGTGAATCCTGTTCTAGTTCGTACCAACCAAACGCGCCCTTAAACTAAATGATGACCTCCACATCATATCAAGAGATCAATACCGTATTAATACGCATTGATGTGCAAGCCTTTTCTTGCAGAAAATGGCAAAATGCATGTTCTTCTGCGGGGAAACATGTGAGTACGTAGTGGTGGACCGTGGTGATACTTTTTTTATACGGAGGTCATTCTGTGCATGTTGCTGTAGCAGAATTTCATGACCCTGTCATAAAATTGTCTTGCCTTTCAGATATTTCAGATCTCCCCACCCTCGATCAGATTTATTTGAGAAATGTAACCAGGTGCGTGTCGCAGATGTTTTTGTTGATTCTGTGTTTATAATGGTTTATAATCATGGGTTTTCGTGATAAGATCATCCTGCATCATATTGCACTGAAATCGTAATCCTGTTGATGTCGATACAACTTTTGGAAGTAGTTCAATGACTTCAAACTGTTAGTCCACGATTTTCTAAAACAACACAGCAAAAGAGGAACAATAAACATGTATTAAAATGTAAACAAATACATTGCTGAGTCCGACACCTCCTTCCAACAACTACACTGATCTTGAGGATAAAGGGGGCAAGGCTATGGTTGGAGGTACTGAGAGATAAACAAGGCACTCCATAATAATAAAATCTTACACATCTTTTGGTGAGTATGAATGATATCCAGTCGAACCTCTTTAGGACCAACACCAAGGGACCGATGGTATTTATTCTGTGAGTTTGTCTTAACCTATTTATAACCATTGAATACAATTATTTCTCCAATAGACATACGAATAGATTTCTTCTACAGCGAAAGATGATTCTAAGCCACACCAACTCATTGACTCGTCTCATATGAAACAAATGAGTCACTAGAGAGGTTCTGCAAAACGAAAACGCGTACAAACTTTCGTTCTACGTCATGAAGTGCGAAACTTCGCACGAACTTTCGCAACTTTGGACGCGAAACTTACAGGGAACGCGAAATGAAGTGTCGTAGGAAAATTCGTGAGATCGGGTCATGGAGTACGTGCACTTGGCCCGCACAAACTACGAAAATGTGCAGAACGCAAAATTCGTACACACTTTCGCAAGGACTGTCGCGAAACTTCGTTCGAATTTTCGTTTTGCAGAACCTCTCTACTGAACCTTTCTTTAGAAACATGACGGCAACTGAAACAGCAACAGAGAAAGAACGATACATGTACAGCACATTCTTGCAGGTACATGTACTACAAACAGTTTGCAGATCGTAATTCTTGCTTTGGCGGCACGAAACCTTATTTGGGGCAGTGCAATCTCGGCGGTACTCACAAATAATAAATCAAACAGCCCAGGCTCCAGTAAACAAATCCAATCATACAACTTACAAGGACAAGATCTTCACGAGACGAGACTGCACCCATTGGCTTGTTTCGTATGAAGCAAACAAGTTACTGATCCTCTCCACAATGGAGATTTTCCCTGATATGCGAATATATTTTGCAAACTCGGTCAATGGGTCCTTGAACCTTTCCCTCCAGATTGGGAACTGCCAACGATAGTATGTCACTGACCAGTGCCTTTCTTGTAACGTACCAATGTACAACGAATACGAGTATTTCGACAACACATCTAACATAAGCCTTACCGTCAAGAAGGTGAACTCGCGCTCTTCGCACACTGTAGACAAGGGCAAAGAGATAAAAATGGATCTAAATCCGAATAAAATCAACACACGTTTCCGTAAATGAAAGGGTGAGTATAAGCAAATGAATCGAAGGAAACAAAGAGATCCTGTCAGCTTTTCCATTATTAATTTTATTGCATTCCGCCCAAATTCAGCACACTTTTCGTAAATGAAAGAGTCAACACAAGCAAATAATCAAAGGGAACTGGTCAACTCACCTGTCATTGAGTAATATTCCGCGAAAGGAGGTCTCAGCAGCGCCGAAACGAAAAAAGCCAGGCCAGGAGACGAAATATCCGAAACAGCTCATACAAGAAGCAGTTCCAGAAGGAAGTTCCTCGCGCATGCACATCCGAACGTTCGAACACGGACTGCAGTACTGCACTGCATGCAACACAATGTCTGCCGTGCACGTGCACCGCACGCGGCTACCACCCGTTGGTAGATCTAATACCGAGCACCTTACGTAGAGACTTACGTAGCCTAAGTGAAATACCGAGCACCTTACGTAGAAACTTACGTAGCATAGCGGTGTCGTTTTTCTTGCCATGTGAACACAATAATAGAAAAGCTGACAGGATCGCTTTTCTAAATTAGTAGTCCTCTCCGTTGTGTACTGGGACGTGACACCGACAGGGGAAAGCTGGAGTGCGGAGACGTTAGCTGGCAAGCGAAAATCGTGACGAACCAAGTGCTGAAATCTTGGTTGGGACAAATCAAACGTTCAGCATTTACCTCAACCAAGGACCATGCCGTTTGCTCTTTCCACTTCCTGAAGATGGATGCGCTGCCTGCTGGAGACTCTCCTATCTCTCGTAACATCTTCTGAAGCCAGGTGAGACGACGAGTAGCGGAGATTAGCGAACGAAATTATGTCGTATGTTTTGAAATTTTTGCTGAACATATCTCAGGAGAGATGGCATGTATGAACTTAGTCCATGTGAACTCAATCAGCCCATGAACTAACCCAGGAACAAATGCTTTCCTTGCAGACGTGCATGTGTCTATCCAATCTACACGTAGAGATCATTCCATGCCCTCAGTGAATGGCCTATTTATATATTATTTGTCCATACACTTCATCTGCATGTTGTTTCTATGGAGAAGGGTATTGTTTATTTCATATGAAGAAGTTCGGGCAATATATGCTTTCCTCTGGTAAAATTCTGTTGACCTGATGTTCTTTCTAGCTTCATGGGTAGCTTAGGTGAGGTGCCATCACCATCGTGTTTACATGATGGTCAAACACTGCACCGTTCTTTGTTGTGACATGACGTAAGTTATTGTAAGTGCTCGCAGACTCCATACGTTCCAGCAACACCTAGCATGGTTTTCCGTGAACGTTGTGGGTGAACAAATTCCTGTCCAACATATTTATACAGACATGCCAGCACACAAAATGCACCATACACACACTTGTCCTGCCCTGTCGAGTCACTGCCACGTGGGCCCGGAGGGGCAGCGGAGAGAGAATGGGAGAACGCCGCCCCATGGCGCCCGGGACACAAAAACAAGAGTTTGTCTACGTAGGGAGCAACACACATACATGTACATACACCACACACACACACACACACACACACACACACACACACACACACACACACACACACACACACACACACACACACACACACACAAAATGAGAGTTTGGGTCATCTGCCATGAGACTGACGTACGGCCGGGGAGAGCTTCAGCAGCGGTGTCTATTCCTGCCCGGGACCGAACGGAAGCAGCGGTCGCAGGACACACAGTATTCACCACAACACGGCTCCACTGTCGTTGGTGGGCTGAGCCACACACTTGTGACGGGCAAGAACGCCACAGCTAAGAAAGAAACGGCCACAGCGATCACACTGGCATGCTCCACGCTGCTCCTGCACACACACACACACTCTCTCTCTCTCTCTCTCTCTCTCTCTCTCTCACACACACACACACACACACACACACACACACACACACACGTGCGCACATACTGCAAGAAAGAAAGAGAGCATGAGTGTCAGATTCTTGCATAGGAAGTGTTTATCAGCACACACTTATACATGCACATGCAGGCACTCAACGACCAAATATGCACCATGCCGTATGTTCGTCAAACATAAGATTGCAATACCAAAGAACAACATAAACAAGATCACTTACTTCGTTCTCCTCCAAGTGTGTCCTCCCCAGCCAGGCCATCTCCTGCATTTCCCTAGGCGGGATGTAGCCTACGAAATGGTTTCTCTAGACTTGGAGAAGATGCTTGGTATTCGCCATCTGTCGTGAATATGCATCACGAATCCGCGTTACGCTCATTATGTCTTTATTTGTTTATGTGTTACATCATGTTGACGTCATGCTGATGTCTTGCTGCACGCATCGCGTGCACCGTTTTGCAGCTCTCAGCCCGGAGCATGCGCAGCGAGCCTGTCGCTCCTTTTTTGCTGCCTTTTCCCTTTTGCATGCTTCACTTGTCTCTACTGTACTTGTCTCAACTAACTAGAACTTGTCTCAAATAAGGTTTTCTGGTGACACTCCCTTTCAAGTCACCTAATCCTTTCAAGTAACCGTGAAGTGCAATGTCGTTCCGTGAACCGGAACCACTCCATATTTGAGTTACCAAGACGTATTTGTGCGTGGCTATCCAAGCTCTCCCACTCAACAGTTCAAAGTTGCGCACAAACTTGGTGCCGAAACCCGGGAATGCCACCAAAAAAGGCTTCGAGTGCCGATGCTCCTAATCCGGCATCAACTAAGCGGTATCGCGGCAAGATACTTCGGCTGCGGAAGAGCATCCAGCAATGCCTCGATGACGGCAATGCATTATTGTCTGGAGCTCCCTCATCTGCAACAGCAGAAAAGCTAAGTGAAACATGTGCATCTTTAGAGTCCGATGTCGTAGCATTTGATGAGGTCTGTGAGCTTTTGTCAAATTGTGTTGATTCCTCCGCCCTGGAGAGCTCTGACGAAGCTGCTTGTAAACAGGAAGCAGACGATAATCTGGACTTCCAGTTTGAAGCTATGAGCGTGATCAAAAAGCTCAAATTCCGAATTTCTCAACTGAAATCAGCAGCAGATTGTCAGACCTCTCCAGAGTCGAGTACTAACAAATCGGACGACGACTCAGTTGTCAAGCTAATGCAAAGCCAGATGAAAGAGTTACTCACCATTCATCGTCAAACACAGGAACAAACTCAATCTCTGCTACAACAGCATAGTGAATCACTCACCACTCAAGCATCTCACAAGTCCACTGTCAATTTACCAAAGTTAGGTTTACCTAAATTCAACGGTGACATCCTGCAATGGAAGTCTTTCCACGACATGTTCATGGCATCTGTACACAAACACACTGGATTAAGCGATGTACAGAAGCTTTCCTCCCTAAAGGAGCATGTGACACACAATGCACTCGACACCATTTCTGGTTTGTCTCTGTCAGATGCTAATTATGCTGTTGCTCTTGGCCTGCTCGACGAGCGTTATGGCAACACGCAGGTGCAGGTTAATGCTCACCATGTCGCCCTGATGGAAACTCCACCGGCAACCAACAAGCCGTCCTCGCTCCGTAAGCTGTACGATACGGTAGAACTACATCTACGCAGTCTCAACGCTCTTGAAGAAGACACTGACCAACCGATCTTCATTTCACTGATGACCAGCAAGCTTCCGCGTCACGTGCTTGCGCAACTTGAGTTGCAGAAAGGCATCGATCCATGGTCTGTCGCCGAGCTGAGAGTCAAACTGTGTGCGTATATAGTAGCGCAGGAGACAGCCGAGCGCCAGTCCAGTCATGCCGCCAGTAGCAAACATGAACAGCCGTCTTGCGTACATAAGTCGTCCGTACTTCTTGTCGGCGAGTCGAGTCGCCAATCACAGCCAAGAAAGAAAGTCTGCGCTTTCTGCAGGGAAAGCCACTACTCTGACATGTGTTCCAAGTATAGCACACTTGAAACAAGGAAACCACGCCTCGGCGACAAGTGCCAACGGTGCCTACGGCCAGGCCACAGTGTTTCGTCATGTAGTCTGCAGAAGCCTTGCTTCTATTGTCGTAAGCCTGACCACCACTCCAGTCTGTGTCCCGTGAAATTCGGTGCACACCCAAGCTCCGCAATGTGTGCCAACGCGGCACCTTTCCAGCCACGTCCTGCCATTACCACAGTCGCAGGCGACAATCAGTCCGTTGTCATGCAAACCGCAGTTGTAGATGTAGTGTCCAAATCTTCCGGTACCCCGACCACGCTGTCTGCACGTATACTGTTCGATAGTGGCTCTTGCCGGTCGTACGTCACGCAGGCGCTCCAGGCGAAAGCCAACCTCAGTGTTCTAGGTCAAGATCACATTGCCCTCTCTACTTTCGGTAGTGCATCGAGGAACACGTCTCAGTACCCACGCGTCGAAGTCAATCTCAAACTGAAGAATGGCTCAATCCTTCCGCTGTCCGCCAATGTGATTCCCCAAATCACTTCACCGATATGGCGCGTCCCCTTGGACACCAACAGACACCCGAGCCTCAACACCCTTCCTCTTGCGGAGCCGCTCACGTCATCCAACGATCGCCTGTGTATCGACATCCTCATTGGTCTTGATCACTACTACAAGATCCTGGGCACAGACCGCATCTCCTTTCCCGATGGCCTGCAGCTTTTGGACTCGTCACTTGGTTTCGTTTGCGCCGGAACAGTAGCAACTGAGCACGCCTGTTCGGTAATCGAGACCAACACCACCTTAGCCGTAGCAAGTCATCGACGAGAAGATCCCTCGTTTGACCTTGAGCGCTTCTGGGCTGTTGAAGATTTCGACTCTCTCAGTGCGACACGCCCCAGCAACGATCATGCGTATGACGACTTCCTCCAATCGGTCGTGTTTGAGGACGGACGGTACACCGTCGGGTGGCCTTGGCGACAACAACATCCGCCTTTGGAAAACAACTTTCCACTTGCTTTTGGACGTTTGAAGTCACTCATTAAACGTCTCCGTCACGAGCCTGATACCTTCGTCAAGTACAGCAAGGTACTTGAAGAGCAACTGTCACTTGGTATCATCGAACGCGTTGCTTTTCCCAGCCAGAGAGACAACTCGCATCCAATCCACTACTTGCCACATCACTGTGTGCTCAAGCTGTCCAGCAGCACCACTAAGATCCGTGTCGTGTACGACGCATCCGCTCGTGTATCGAAGACTTCGCCCAGTCTCAATGATTGTCTGTATCCTGGGCCGTGCATGATCCCTGATCTCTGCGGCATTCTCCTGCGTTTCCGCATGCACCCTATTGCCGTCTGTAGTGACATCGAGAAAGCGTTCTTACAGATGAATTTGAACGTAGCCGATCGTGATGTCACTCGTTTCTTGTGGTTGGATGACCCCAACCAACCAGTCAACTACAGCAATCTCCAAACTCTGCGTTTCTGTAGAGTCCCTTTCGGTGTTGTTTCCAGCCCTTTCTTGCTGTCTGCAACGATCAAGTACCACCTCACGCAGACCTGTTCACCGGAGACAGACGACATTCTCCGAAACACGTACGTAGACAACATCATCCTGGGCAAGGACACCATCAACGATGCTGTCGCTCACTATCAATCAGCAAAGGCGACGTTCTCCGCAATCAGCATGAACCTTAGAGAGTGGGCATCGAACTCTTCCGAAGTTTTGGACAAGATCCCAGAACACGATCGCTCAAGAAGCACTCGCGAGAAATGCCTTGGTCTCCATTGGGACCCCAGAGAGGACGTCTTGTCCGTACAGTCGCCTAATGCAGCTAACCTTGTTGTCACTACGAAACGCCAGGTTCTACAGGCACTGTCTCGCTTCTTCGACCCGCTTGGCTTGTTCGCCCCCGTGTCCATCAGAGCGAAGGTTCTTATGCAAGATATCTGGAAGCTTGCTGTGTCATGGGATGACCCACTGCCCTCCGACGTCCTCAGTCGCTGGCACCCAATAGCCGCCGACCTTGACGAGTCTAGCAGCTATCCGATCTTGCGCTACGTCGGTGTACCCACATGTAAGAGTCCGTCGTATCAGTTGCATGTCTTCTGCGATGCGTCAGCGATCGCCTATGCTGCCGTTGCGTACTTGGAAAGCACTGTCGGTGACAAGAATCAGCGGCACATCATCTTCAGCAAGACGAAGGTGTCTCCCGTCAAGGGTCAAACGATCCCACGGTTAGAGTTGATGGCGGCAAGCCTAGGATCTCGCCTTATCGTGTATCTACGCAAGCAACTGGACATCCAGTTCCAAGCCACTCATCTGTACACCGACTCAACGACTGTACTCCATTGGCTCAAGTCCACGAAGCTCCCCGTCTTTGAGCAGAACCGCGTCAACGCCATCGCAGCCGTTCCAGACGTTCTCCACCACTACGTCCCGACAAAGCTGAATCCAGCCGACCTGCCATCCCGTGGATTGAGCGCGGCAGCCTTGTTAAAATGCGACACCTGGTGGAACGGCCCCAGCCTGCCGATTGAAGGCACCACTGCAGCAACCGTCACTGTTGCGCCGGCGGAGGGTCCTCCGGAAGTCACCTCAAAGGGGTCGGGGGGTCAGCCATTTGGTCAGGGTTCACAGACAAATAAAAAATCTGATGTATTCCCATATGGCATTGTTGTGAACGACTTCTCGTCGTTCGACTCTTTAGTGCGTGTGTCTGCACTTTGCTTTCGTTTCCTCTGTAGGCTGCGGAAGAAACCAACTCCATCTGGACCTCTCACGCCTAGAGAAATCGAAGCAGCAGAGCAAGTCTGGATCAGCCACAGCCAGTCTGCACACTATGCAGATGTTATCACCGCTCTGTCCAGTGGGAAGCAACATCCGCTGGCAACTAAGCTCAACTTAGTGCTCGACAACGGAGTACTGAGATGCCGTGGAAGACTGGAGAATGCTGACCTCTGCTCCAAATCGAGGTTTCCCGTCCTGATCTCCAAGGAACACGCCATTGCCAACCTGATCATACGTGATTGCCACCTCAAGGTCATGCATGGCGGCGTAGCGCACACACTATCCCGTGTCCGATATCAGTTTTGGATCCCGAAAGGCAGATCAGCTGTAAAGGCCCTCGTGCGCCGCTGTCAGACGTGCATTCGCTACGAAGGCGCGCCATACAAGACACCTCAGATGAGTCCGCTACCTTCTACCAGAGTGACCCAAGCGCGACCATTCTCTCACATCGGACTGGACTACTTTGGCCCAGTCCTCGTCCGTACACAGTCAGAAACCGCTAAGGCATGGGTCTGCCTGATCACGTGCATGGTGACCAGAGCTGTTCATTTGGAGCCAGTCCACGACATGACAGCTGCCGAGTTTCTGCTCGCATTGAGACGTTTCGTCGCCCGCCGTGGCACGCCAGAGCTAGTTGTGTCTGACAACGCTCCCCAATTTAAGCTGGCCAAGTCTGCTCTTGACATTGCCTGGAGCAACATTGTGGTGGACACCAGTGTTACGTCCTACATTAGCCGCCATCAAATCCAGTGGCACTTCATCGTTGCCAACTCTCCGTGGATGGGTGGAATGTATGAAAGGCTTGTGGGTATTGTCAAGCGTTCTATGCGCAAGACCATTGGGAGACGCCTCCTCACAACCAGCCAACTCGCCACTCTCCTGCCAGAAGTTGAGTCTGTCGTCAATTCTCGGCCGCTAGTCTATGTCGACGAAGAACAGTGCACAGTCCTGACGCCTGGTCATTTTATCAGCCTGTCTGCCACACAGGGGTTCTTCACGGTCAGCAACGACCCAACCGACCCGGATTACCAGCCTATCAATTCCTCTGCAGACAGCCTGTTGGACCTTTGGAAGAAGGGCCAACGACACCTTGATCAGTTCTGGCTCGCCTGGAGGAACGAGTACCTCCTCAGTCTGCGAGAAGCCCACACGTCGTCTTTTAAGCAGTCAAGGACTCGATCCTCAACGTTTCCGAAGCCTGCTGACGTTGTCCTCATCAAGGAGGAATTGCCTCGCGGCCACTGGCGCCTTGGACGAATCCAAGAAGTCCACACCAGCAGCGATGGCAACATCCGCTCCGCCACCGTCCTCACTTCGGACAAACGCACCGTCAAGCGGCCAGTAAGTCTACTGTGTCCGCTTGAGACCAGCAGTCCCTCGGAATCCCCAGGTACCCCAGCTCAGGAGACCAGCAGTTCCTCTGAATCCCCAGGTACCCCAGCTCAGGAGACCAGCAGTACCGCAGCTACCCCAGCTCAGAAGACTAGCACTCCCGTTGCAGTCGTACGAAGACCGACACGAGCCGCTGCCAGCAAGTTTCAGTCCGACTTGCAGGATTTGATCGCCGATGGCCGTGTTTAACTCTCTCTCTCTCTCTCTCTCTCTCTCCCTCTCGCATTCTTTATGCTCTTCAGTTATCTTTCCACGTGTTTTGTGTGAAATTTCTCCTTGTTATTAATTATGGTTAATTCTGTTCTCCGGCCAATGCCCGGGGAGTGTCGTGAATATGCATCACGAATCCGCGTTACGCTCATTATGTCTTTATTTGTTTATGTGTTACATCATGTTGACGTCATGCTGATGTCTTGCTGCACGCATCGCGTGCACCGTTTTGCAGCTCTCAGCCCGGAGCATGCGCAGCGAGCCTGTCGCTCCTTTTTTGCTGCCTTTTCCCTTTTGCATGCTTCACTTGTCTCTACTGTACTTGTCTCAACTAACTAGAACTTGTCTCAAATAAGGTTTTCTGGTGACACTCCCTTTCAAGTCACCTAATCCTTTCAAGTAACCGTGAAGTGCAATGTCGTTCCGTGAACCGGAACCACTCCATATTTGAGTTACCAAGACGTATTTGTGCGTGGCTATCCAAGCTCTCCCACTCAACAGTTCAAAGTTGCGCACAAACTTGTGGTGCCGAAACCCGGCATCGTCTCCTGAGAAATGTTCAGCAAAAATTTCAAAACATACGACATTATTTCGCTCGCTAATCTCCGCTACTCGTCGTCTCACCTGGCTTCAGAAGATGTTACGAGAGATAGGAGAGTCTCCAGCAGGCAGCGCATCCATCTTCAGGAAGTGGAAAGAGCAAACGGCATGGTCCTTGGTTGAGGTAAATGCTGAACGTTTGGTTTGTCCCAACCAAGATTTCAGCACTTGGTTCGTCACGATTTTCGCTTGCCAGCTAACGTCTCCGCACTCCAGCTTTCCCCTGTCGGTGTCACGTCCCAGTACACAACGGAGAGGACTACTAATAAACAGTTCACGGCACTAACAGCCTTGAACACAGTACTTCTTTCACTTCGTGAATACAAGAAGACAACTGAAAATGACACAATTCTGCAGTGATCGACCTTCTCTCTCACGGAGCTAAGCAGAATGTGCGTCATCACCTGTAGTCGCCATGGAAACGGGATCAGGAAATCGGCGATATGGCAAGTTTCCCTTGCCGTACGCAAGCGAGAGATATACCATCGGAACCGATATCCAATTGTCTTTCATCTGAGCCCTACTTGAAAAATCGATGCACTTCCCCTTTAAGGACGCACTATGGTGCCGACAAGGTGCCGGGCTGGAGCCACCAGCCACTCGTGCCCTGGCTTCGCCAGAAACATCACACGACCCAAAGTCACGGCGTGACTCGCGTAGACGCAAAACACTCACTTTAAGTACCCGGCCCATCTTGGGGTGTCATCACACGCCCGCATCCATATCCACGGCTCAGGGGGCTTCGACCGCATCGGCCGGCACGTGGGCAAACGGCGGCGAGCCGCCTGATCATCGTCACGCAAAGACTCTAAAAGCTTCTCCATCGCCGAGAGTCTAAGACGGTGAGAGGAAAATATCCAAGGCACTTCTTGTTCGAGCATGAAAAAGGCCTGAAGGGCCTTGGATGAGCTGCATCAAGTACAGCTTCATTAGAATATTGAACTTTAAAAAAATGCTGTGTTCGAGCATGAAATCGCGTAAATCGCGAGGGCTAGACATAGTTCTATCTCACCGGAAACTCTGACATGCAATCCACAGACAACTACCGATATAGATGATGTCACACACATGCATGCATACACGCACACACAAACCGGCTGCCGACTACTACTAGTACTAGTATGCAGTATCCTAGGCACGCACGCACGTGCACACACAAACCAGCTGCCGAATCCGAATATGCAGTCTCCTAGGCACGCGCACACGTGCACACCCAAACACACGAACCAGCTGCCGAATCCGACTATGCAGTCTCCTACAGCAGGCACGCGCGCACGTGCACACGCAAAAACACGAACCAGCTGCCGAATCCGACTATGCAGTCTCCTAGGCACGCGCGCACGTGCACACCCAAACGCACGAATCAGCTGCCTAATCCGACTATGCAGTCTCCTAGGCACGCGCGCATGTGCACACACAAACCAGTTGCCGAATCCGACTATGCAGTCTCCTAGGCCCGCGGGCACGTGCACACGCAAACACACGAACCAGCTGCCGAATCCGACTATGCAGTCTCCTAGGCACGCGCACACGTGCACACGCAAACACACGAACCAGCTGCCGAATCCGACTATGCAGTCTCCTAGGGACGCGGGCATGTGCACACGCAAACACACGAACCAACTGCCGAATCCGACTATGCAGTCTCCTAGGCACGCGCGCACGTGCACACGCAAACACACGGACCAGCTGCCGAATCCGACTATGCATGATCTATGCGCTGTCCACACCAGTCTAGAAGAATAAATGGAAGATTTTCTGAACCAAACGTTTTCGTTCCCTTCTCATCATGGGCTCATACAGGGTAGAGTAACCTAGAGTATTACATCAGCTGCTGGAATGAGTTTGTATATCTATAAGTGACTGGAATGTAGAAATAAAGACTAACTTGAAATATATCTCTAAAAATATTCAAACCTCCTCGGCCAAATGAGGTTGAGGACTCCGGCCGAATGATAATATTCCATTTTATGTAATCATAAAATTCAAAAGAAATGTTTCATGTATCTGCATGACTATAAGTAGTAATTCTGCAACGGGCATAGTAACCTGGTGTGGTCCTCTACAATTAGCTGTCTCTACTGTCTAACATACTAGACTATTTCATTTACGTATATTTAGTGGGGTAGTGATCAAGAATAACATAATGTTGCTAAAAATTGGCAGATATGACCAAGGAAGAATGGAGGAATGGATTTGATGGATAGCATAGCCAGTCAGTAAGATAGAGAACACACAACGGAGAGAGAGAGAGAGAGAGAGAGAGAGAGAGAGAGAGAGAGAGAGAGAGAGAGAGAGAGAGTGAGAGAGAGAGAGAGAGAGAGAAACAGAGAGAGACAGAGAGAACAGGACCAGCACTTGCTGCGTGAATTGCTTGACACCTCAATCTGTGATGGAGCAAACAGAGAATACCGCACAGCCACGAAGACAGTCACATAATAGTATACACCGGAGCCAAAATAGATTGGATGCATGCATATTATGTACACACACACACACACACACACACACACACACACACACACACACACACACACACACACACACACACACACACACAGAACACCTGAATTTACACTAATTCTCACTTACACATACACACCTACACCTAAATCCACACACCACAGCCAAACGAGAGATCTGCGTTTCAATGACTTATTCAGAATTCAGGTAGTGCAAGAACTCAACGCAACCTACCGTTTACACACGAGCCCGTCGTGGCAGAAGCTGGTTCATCTTGTCGATCTTGTCGGGATATTTACCCCAGCATTTGATGACCTTCACAAGCTTGATGTAGCCAGCCTGTTCCTCGCTGCTTACAATGTTGACCAACTCTTCGTTGTGAGTGCGTGTTCCATCTTGTCTCTCAATCCTCTTCAAGTCTTCTATCTGCTGCAGATCGGAGAAGAACCCAGCCACTTGCGCCAATTTACGAAACTTTGCCGCTGGTAATTTGTCCAACCAAGGAGAAATATCGGTTATAAAGGCACTTTGTTTGAATGGGTCGCCGTACGCCTCCTCGTCCTCATCTAAGCAAGATATACATAGGATAAAAACATGCACAAACAGAGAAAAAAGGATTTATGACTTGCCGTACACGTTCTAGAGTGTCGATGTGCATCACTCCAGTCTGGACCTGTACATCATCAGTGGTTGATCTAAGTACGCTTATACCATGGCAATGGCTAACCTGGCAAGGATTCTTGGCATCTAAATCACTGTTGTGCTACATGCATGTGGCTCCATTTCAGTATGCCATGTATACTTTTATAGACACCACACACTGTATCTAACATACACATACCCAATCTACGGACAGAACTGTTTCGTCCTTTGTGGACTTGTCAGCATACCCATACACAAACACATACTGTATAAGCATAATGCATGGTGTACAGATGAATGGAATTCCGTAGAATCTCGTAGAATCCCGTAGCCCCTGTTGGGTGTTGAATGTGAAGAACCATATTGTGTTTACAACTATTTCCACTAAGAAACAGGCCCTGGAGGCATTCATGAGAAAAATCTTTTTCCTGACAAAGATCTAGCTAGTCATTAGTCCTATTCAAAGTGGCAGAGGCGGATCCAGGGGGGGGGCAGGGGGCCTGGGCCCCCCCTTTGAAAATTTCGACCTTGGTCTAGGATTACAGTAGACAGGTAGACTGTAGAATGAGCGCTCGAAATGACTTGGCGTGTCAAGTGGGTCACGCGTGCTGGGTACTTATCCGTCCGGTGTCACGCACTAGACAGCACGCTGTGTACAACTACTGTACGCACTGCCACCTGAGCTATAGAGGACACGGCCGCACTTCAAACATGTGAAAAACGTGCCAAAAATGCAGGGCCTGGTACAAAGTGCAGCTAGTGCAGCGATCTCGTTGGGCTGAAGTCCTGTACAGTGCACCGTGCTGTCGGCTTCGTCCTTCCTTTTTCTTTTTCATTTGTCAGAAACTAAACGCGCTCTGAGTCGCTCTCTCTACTTCGCTTGTAGCCAAGGGGTTACCTTCAGATATGCGATGAAGAGGAAAGGGTATGACATCAGGTCGTTCTTCAGTGGACCGGTAGATAAGAGCGCTCGCGTTGAAGAGCCGTCCAAAGGTCGGTCGCAGCCGCTGCCGAGTGGAAATGTTCCTGCACTTGCGACATTACCCGAACCTGCTCATGAATGTGAAGTCATTTCAAGTCATTCCTCCAGTGACAGTTCTCTGCCTGGATCTCCGGTTTCGCACGCCAAGCCCACTGAGAGTAGCACTGTTCCAGCGACGGAATATTACATGTATATTTGTGGTAACTTTGTAGCATACACATACCTGCTAGTAGTACAGTAGTGTCGCCCTAAATTGCCTAATGCCTGAATTACACCACAGCTTGACAACACTTCCAGTGCAGTTTGAAAATGTCGTGAGAATGGAATACAGCAGCTCTTCACAACTTCAGGACTTAGACGTTGTTGTTTTGTTTCGTTGGGGGGGGGGGGGGGGGGGGGGGCGTATACCTTGGGCCCCCTCTTCGGCCAAATCCTGGATCCGCCACTGAGTGGTGGCACTGGAAAATTGACTGTCATTAATTATTGTGCTAAATTGGTCAAATGCGTATCTAAAATAGACTATGAACACCCAGTCAGGTACACACCTGTAGTCACTGCTGCTGCAACTGCAGATGCTACTGGAGGTGCTACTGGTGATGCTGCTGCTGAAAGTGCTACTGCAGCAAGGACTCCTGCTGCTGCTGCTAACAGTGCTGCTGCTACTGGAGATGCTACTGATGCTACTGAGGCTGCTGCTGCTGCTAACAGTGATGCTACTAGTAATGCCACAGCTGGTGATGCTGCAAGTGAGCCTGCCGCTGCTGAGGTGGCTACTGGCTGTGATGTTGCTACTGAGCCTGCCTCTGCTGAGGTGGCTACTGGCTGTGATGCTACTACTGCTGATGATGATACTTCTGCTGTTTCTTGCACTGCTGTTGCTTGTGGCGCTGTTGCTTGCACTGCTGTTGCTTGCACTGCTGTTGCTTGCACTGCTGTTGCTTGCACTGCTGTTGCTTGCACTGCTGTTGCTTGCACTGCTGCTGCTTGCACTGCTGTTGCTGGCACTGCTGTTGCTTGCACTGCTGTTGCAGGCACTGCTGTTGCTTGCACTGCTGTTGCTTGCACTGCTGTTGCTTGTACCGCTGGTGGCACTGCTGTTGCTTGCACTGCTGTTGCTTGTACTGCTGTTTCTTGTGCCGCTGGTGCTGCTAGTGGCTGCTGAAATCATTTTAGATATCCAAAGATATGCAGGCAAGAAACACAGACAAGAGACAAATTCAGTCGGGCCCATTCCACAGACGTATACCGTAAAATAATAACTGCCCTGTGTTTCTAGTGCATTGCAATTCTATGCTAGCCTTTTGATGAAGTAGAATTCTATCGAGTATTACTGTAAAGAAAGTACTCCTCCTTGAAAAGATAATGAAAAGACACACTGTCGGTCTGTCACTTCATCAGTCAAATAATCACAGTCAAATGATCACAGCCACATGATCACAGCCACATGATCACTGTCACATGATCACTGTCACATGATCACCGTGACATGATCACAGTTACATAATCACAGTCATATGATGGTGTGGATATATAGCAGCAAAAGTATCTATTATACAAGCTTGACATTTCAAGCCGTGAAACTGCAACGCGAAGGGGGAGCTGGGTTAGAGTCCCGTCCTGAGCACGCAAAACATACTTGTGTTTGACAAGTTCGGAGGGGTCTACTCGTCATGACCGCAACAAGTGGGTTTTAGTCAAGTACGTGCGAATTCAACCATGATACGGAGAATAGCACCGTAAATCGCGCCTCTTTTGGTCTTTGCCATTTTCTTCAAATTTCGAAAATGTCTCACCCATTCTTGTTGGAATAAATACGATGGCGAAACGTACCAAACAACCAGTAGGACCATTGATTTTGCCATAACCGTTACTAACATGACACAGAACAGGATCGAGGGTAACCACAGTGCCAAAATTTATGCTTGTTCAAGACAAACTTCAGCTTGCTCGCTCATTTATGTTTTGGCATGGACCTCGTGAACACAACCCTTTGCTGCACCCATCCATCGGCGATGTGGCTGTCATGGGGTTTCTTTCACTTTCATTCGGGTAAAAGTCAGTCAGGCTGAGAATTGTTCTCAAGGAAAAGTTCGCAAAAAATAATAGCCAGTAAAAATATCAGAAAACTGTTTGAAACTGGAAAGCAGCCGACTCGCGTAGACGGGTTGTGAACACAAGAAGCTAATCCTCAATCACGCCGTGTTTCACGTGCGTTACGATGAACTCGTAACCCCCGTTGACGTTTCACGGCTTGCTAATGGTCCCTTATAGTTCACCCAGCCCCCCCCCCCCCCCCCCCCCCCCCCGTTCAATCAGATTATCTCAGGCTGGCTATGACCATGGAGACAATATCGTTATTTCGTACTCGGACCCGTCCCCCCACTCTGAAACGAACGCAGCTTGCTATGCTGGACGACGATAATCGCATGCATGTACAAGCGCAGTGTACAGTGTCGGTCGAGTTGTGATTTTGGCTCGCACCCCTACACCCCCCCCCCCCCCCCAACAAATGATGCTCTCGTTTCAAAGATGACAAAAAACTTTTGCGACGACCCCTAATGAAAACTGTACAAGCTCACGCGCCCACAGACTCGTAGTACATGCCTCGTACGGTATGACTCATCATCTCCAGAAAAGTCAACAAAACGAAACATTCCGCCATGGCCAGACCAAGCGGAGTTACACTCTCTCGTGTTTATGTACTCTTGATCTCATGGACAGCTGTACAAATGTAGGACATGATGGTGGTAGGTGCACCTCACGTGACTCACGTGACACCTAGTCACTGCATAGTTCAACCAATCAAATGTACGACACGCTGTAATGTTTACTGTAGACACACAGTACATCTAAATTCAGTCGCTCACAGTCAAGCCTACTGTACATACCTTCGCACTCTCGTGATCCACCAGCAACTGCACACATCCCTCATTCTTCTCTTTCCTGGCTAGGTCCAACGCTGTTCTCCCTCTCTGAGTAACTCAGCAACACATCACAGGAACAACAGAAAATCAATTTTGAGAAAATTCGTTCCAATTTTACAAAAACGAAAACACAACGAAGGCCAAGGACATAATCTACAACGAGACGAAATCAATCTCTCCACAAGACGACTTACATGTACAGAACAAGCCTCTCCTTCCTCAGCAACATTGCTACTGCATGCAGTTCATGCCTCGACAAATTTGATTTTTTTTACAGATTTCTACTCGAATGAAAATATCCACGACGAGAGGAAAGCGTCCACAGCGCCTGCTCCACGTCAGGAACAACAGCATGTCTTCTACGTACTCGTTACAATAACAACAACCCTTCACTCCTCACTCGTTCCAACAAACACCATCAAACAGTCTTCTACTCCTTCACACACTGATTTTGAAATTCTTCAAAAATTGAACCACAGAGTGAAAATGACCACGTGGCGATATTGTACGCATGATGTCATCGAGTACGGTATCGTACAACTGGTACACATTTCTGACAAGAGGAGAGGAGAGTTGTGCAACTAAGTAACTTGTGGTAGTCGTGAGAGAGAGAGAGAGAGAGAGAGCGAGGGGCAGAGAGAGAGAGAGAGCGAGGGGCAGAGAGAGAGAGAGAGAGAGAGAGAGAGAGAGAGAGAGAGAGAGAGAGAGAGAGAGAGAGAGAGAGAGAGAGAGAGAGAGAGAGAGAGGCAGGACAGGTGAGAAGGACGAGTAGAAACTGTTCACTTCACAACAACACACAATCAAATACTTACATCGTCACGCAGTGTGGTATCCAAGGTGACACCGTCACTGTCATGTGACAGCATCACCTTGACAACGTTGATCTTGTTGCAGTCGACTGCCAAGTGAAGTGGAGTCCATCGGGACTGTAGAGAAAGAGAGAATGTGATGAGTATTGCTATACAACCATTACACTAACTACTACAACCACACACCGACACAGACCTGGACAACTAGA